CATCATATAACTGTCTACTAAATTTTTCATTGGGTTCCAGTCAGGGCTTCTTACTAGCCTCTCAAATTGATTATTAGCTTGAATTGTGTATAGATCCATTGTTGTGTTGGAATATGTACTTTTCACATATCAGAGGTGCCTCTATCAATAAATTTTCTCTGAATAAGTCTAGTCTTTGAACTTAATTTTTACTTTTAAATAAGTTACTGGTGTCTTTCCTTTAGCAGCAAAACACCCCAAATTGTTACAGATCCCCCACTCCCACCTTATGATCACTTTGAGAACCTACATAATTCATGCCAGATATGCCAATAATATCTAAACTTGTCTGGTTCATTGAGATTAAAACTTTTGAAGTATCGTGCCACTAATCCCCAAAGAAACATGCTTCTTTGTGAATTCAAGGTGGTCATTTCATGTCTCTTTATTAGAGGTAGTTTGTTTCATTTTATTAAATTCTATGTGTGGATGTTTTGATAGAGTACGATACATGAAAAAGTACAACTCATTGCAATTTTGGAAAAAAAGCATTTTATGAGTTGCTCAACTAATAAAGGCTCTCGTTTTTGATAAGAATCAATGCTGACAGATGGCTTGTATTCAACTCTGCTTAATTATCACCATTTTTAAAAAATATTCACCCAATTCTTGAATCTGTTTAATCTTTTAACTATTTCTTGAGAATTTGATCCATATTTTTTAAAATTAAGAAATTTTTAAAACTAAGTTGCAGGGCTGTTAAAACAATGAAGATTCTTGCTTGATCTTATTTCTCCCCCTTCCCTTGTTATTGAGAAGGTTTAAAATATTTTCCATTCTTCCAGGTTGATGCATTCCTCAAACACAACATAAATGTTTTTATCAACAGACAACTTATTTACAATTATCCTGAGCAGCTTTTTGCTGATGCAGGTGTTATGGCTATTGAACATGCTGACTTTGAAGGTGTTGAGAAATTAGCACTTGTGACTGGTTAGTATTTACTTTATTTAATTAGTAATTTTTTTTGTAAGTGCTGTTCGTTTAAAACAAACTATGTATACGAAAATATGCATATCTGCTTTGTTATGTGTCTGTGAAACAGTATGTTTCTATGCAAAACATACAAATTATTTTTGTTCAGAATACTTTTTAAAACAACTTAAATTTCCTGTTTTTTGAAGAATTTGAGTTTATTACTCATACTATTTTTGGAATTTGCATATATTCAATCATATTTAAGCAGTGTTTCATATTTTGCTGCATCTAAATATTTTGTATTTTAAACACACTGATAGTTTTAAATGGTATTTGAAACTCTCTCATTTAGGTTATCAAACATTAAATTTTGGAAATTTTCCTCTATTGCAATATTTTTTTTTTTTTTCAAATTTTTTTTATTTTAATCCTTATTGAATTATAGGTGGTGAAATTGTTTCTGATATTGAACGCTGTGAAACGGTCAAGCTTGGAAAATGTGATCGCATTGAAGAAATCATGATTGGAGAAGACCACTTACTTAAATTCTCTGGACTTCCAGTTGGTGAATCTTGTACCATTGTCCTTCGAGGTGCTACCGAACAAATTCTAAATGAAGCGGAAAGGGCTCTTCATGATGTATTATGTGTTTTAGTTACTGTTGTAAATGAAAGTTTAATTGTTCTTGGGGGAGGCTGTACCGAAATGGCAATGGCCAGGAGAGTTTTTGCTAAAGCCGCAGAAACTGCTGGAAAGGAATCATTAGCCATGGAAGCTTATGCTAGAGCATTACTTCAAGTATGTCACTTTCTCTTATATTGTTTTTTAAAGTAATAGTTTAAAAATTTAGTTTATTTTAAGTTATACTATGAAATTAAAGAGTTTTAGTTTGCTACTTTGCACTTTAAACTTGCTATCTCCTGCATGTTTATGTTACCGATGAATATTTCATAATTTTAACTAAAATGAAAAATAATTTGCAGTTGATTAAAATAAGTTAAATGCATAAATCATGCATTAATATTATGTGCTCTGTAGTTTATGAAAAAAATCAAAACCTGCATTATGTGTGTAAAATATTTTTTAAAAACAATGTTATGCTAAATGAAGTTCAGTAAGACATTATGTGTTACTTCTCAAATGAATTTTTAATAACAATGGAAGGTATGTTTACATAATTTTAAAATTTTTTTAAAAAACTTAAAGGTAAGTTTTTTGTGGGGTTTGCTGTGGCTGCAGTAGACACGTGGTCATGAACTCCATAACTGGTGTTGTCCAGTTTTGAGTTTGTATCCTTGTTGACTCCAAAGGTCTGCCATATAAAGGAGTTGATGCACATCAAATTTGCTGAGACTTGAAATTCTCTAATTGGTGTATGGAGAGTAAAGTATCATCTTTCCACTTGACTAAGGTTTTAAATTATGAGGTCAATAGCCCGCATGCAGTTTCAAAATGTAATGTTATAAAATGTATCTAGTTTGGTGGTCTTGCCTTAAATTACAAATTTTTTTAAACATGTTTTTTGTATGCATCATTTTGTATTTAAGTTTAAAAGTATTTTTAAAATTTTGTTAATTTTTATATATCTAATATATATTTATGCATTTCAGTGAAAATTGATATTTGCTTTATAAATTTTAGATTCCTACTATAATCTCTGATAATGGTGGCTATGATAGTGCTCAGTTAGTGTCCGAGTTGCGATCAGCTCATGCTGAAGGAAAAGTTACTTATGGGCTTAGTAAGTATTATTTTTCTGTAATTATTTTATAAATAAGAGATGTTTCTGGAAGTATGATTGTGCTAAGGATGTTTCATACAAGTTACAATGAAAGAAAAACTGTTGATTTAAGTTTTTACAAATTAGAGAAAATATAATTTTTTATATTACTGAGTGATGAACTGTGATGTAATTTGCATGTTTTATGAATGTACCAGAAATTAGAAGATTTAATAGAATTCAAAATGTACCAAATGTTTTTTATGGAAATTTATTATTTATGATGTAACACTGAAGAGTGTTACATCATAATCAATCTCTCTCTCAATCAATAAAATCAATTGTATATACATAATTTATCAAAATTCAACCTTTTAAAGTTTAATTAAATAATTTTTAGTGTATTTAATTTTTTGAAATGAAATCTAAATTACTCATAATTATACAAGGTTGAAATAATCTTAGCAAATTATAAAAGAAAAAATTTTTTTTGAGTATTTTATTTGAGTAAGAATTATTTTTGTATAAGTAAAATCTTGAAAAAATAAATGGATTTTATAAAACATATGTTGCTTTCTATTATATAATTGTATTTATAAAATTTTCTAATTTTTTTAGATATGTATGAAGGCAAGATTGATGATATGCTCAAATTAGGAATTATTGAGCCTTTCAAAGTCAAATGTCAAGTTCTTAGTGGAGCTACTGAAGCTGCTGAGATGATTCTAAGAGTAGATGGCATAATCAAAGCTGCACCTAGGAGACGTGCTCCTGACGATAGGCATTGCTGATTATACAGACATTAAAATTTTATTTTTCATCTACTTCCAACTTTTTTACGCATTGAAATGCATCATAAAATCTTTTGCTATGTCTGCTGGCTACTGACATTCAATAATTTTGCCTCACAAATAAAATTTCAAGCAGTTTTACTTACTTTCATTTGTTTAAACTATTTTCATTGAACAATAAAAATAGCTTATATTCTATAATTTGTGTTCAGTTCATTTTCTGATGTACTAAATAAAAAGTATGTACAGTATGTGTAAATTTCATAAGTACAAAAATAATTTTAATTTCCTTTTTCTGTTTAATAACATGATTTTTTAAAATTTATATTAAGCTTTTAAATGCTTTTTATTCACTTGATGTATTTAATTAGAATAATTTTTAAATAATAATGACCTTTGTATCTAGAACTATATATATGTGATAAATTAAGTTTATTTTTGTAACTTGTTTAAAAAAACTAAGAATCTTGTGTATGTGTAAATACTGGATAATCAAAAGAAGATAAGTCCATGAAGACTTAATATGAAAAAAAGAAAGATTGGTTTACTCTTCTGTTTCAATTCATGCAATAAATATTACTTAAATGAATATCTGAATACTTTAAGCGTGATTTGATTACTGGTATAGATTACATTTATTGCTACAGGCTGAATTGAAGTTTATCGACTTGCAGTCAGGCACCATTAATGTGCAACTTTTACCACCTCTTTTTGAATAAGCAATCGCTTCTGTTAGCATTCTTTGACATTGTGAACATTTTAGTTTTTATTTTTCATTTTATAAAAGATTAATATTTTGTTCAGAAAACTTCATGCAATTGCTTTAAGAGCAGACGCATGGTTTTCTTTCTATTTCATACATAGGAGTCTCGGAAAGTGAAATGTTCCACTTCTGATAATTATTATTTTTATAAGGGAGAATTTTCATAAGATTCTCTCTCTTAGCTGTACATTCAAACATTTTGTATTGGTCATATTTTAACCTGTTAACCAGGGAATAGGAAAACTTCTATTTAACTTGTTACTCAATTGGGACTTTATTGAAAAGTTATACTATAAAACCTTGAATTTATTTCTCAAATAGTTCAAAATTAGATCAATTTTGTTGGTTTTTTAAGGCTTTACTGTTGGATCAAAAGCTTTTATTAGAAAAGTGTAAAAATTTCACTAACAGTGGGAATCTTTTGTTCTGACATAGTTTTGTAAAATAATGAAAAATCATCAGACTTTCTCACTTTTTGAAATATAGCTCGTAAGGTGATTTTTCTGTTATTCCTTACAAAATTAGTAAGAAAATAAGTAACATAAAAATAAATTTTAAAGTCAATTCCTGCTTAGGTCAATAAAGAAAAATTTTATTTTAGTTTTTATTAAAGAATTACAATTAATATAAATATGTAAGTGCATATGTCAGAATTGTAATATTAAGTGGCAAAATAAAAGGCTATTTTCCTTTCTAAATAGGGTGTTGGACTATTATTTTTGTTTAGTACTATTTATTCATTCATAAATCACTTTCTCAGAAATTAGGCCATCCCAGGTAGGATTCGAACCCACGACTTTTAGATTAGAAGTCCAACACACTATCCATTGTGCTACAGGGGCACAACCAGCAATTTTCCTTTTTATATATGGTGTTGGACTATTATTTTTGTTTCTTACTATTCATTAATTAAATTTAACTAATGAATTATAATTTGAAAAAACTATTAACATCAAATGTCATCCACTACAAGTTTAAAAAAAGATATTTGAACATGAATGGATGAATAAAAAGTATTTATTAACAATTGAAAATTTGAACAAGATATCTATATATATATATAGGGAGATTGTGAACCAATAGTAGGAATTAAATTATTACTCTTGTCAGACATCTGGAACATAATTTCAAGGGAGAATTTTTATTTAAAAAAAAAAACTGTCCTGTGTATTTGTAAGTCCTACAAAACTGTCTTTTATAAATTTCTCAAAATGAAAAGAATTTTTTTTTATTGGAGTCCTTCAAATATAAGTCTAAATTTAGACAAATGAATAAAGCTGTCATCTATTCCTTCACTTCTGATTTAGCTCTTGCATTTATGTTTTTCAATTCCACATCATCTGGTTAATCCTTAAAATCATCATTCCTTCTGAATTGCTATTGCTGCTCATTATTCAATTTCTTTTATCTGCTCATAATTCAATGTCATTACATTTTAGTACACTCCTTGGAATATACACTCTCCTTTTTAATAACATTCAAAATTTTCAGATCGTTGCCATAAGGAGAAAAGGAGTGTCTTCTGATTTGTTAGCATTGAAATAAGGGCGAAATTTTCATTAGTTCATAAGAGCAAATTGCAGCATGTAAGTGCATGTTTTTTATATTGTTTTTTGAATTCATCTGCAGAAAGGTGCAATTGTTTTACTGATTTGGGTATATGTTGTTTAGTACAGCCAAAAAGAAAAATAAACTTCATCTTTCAAATTCCTTTTTTTTTTGTTCTTCGAACTTTGCCTACTTTTAACGGTACATGTAAAATTGTACATAATGAGTTCTAAAACAGTATGGATACAGAATATATCTATCCTCAGTTAATGCAGATAAAATATCTCCTGAACTAGAATGTGTAGCAATGGGAGATTAAAATAGCTATTGATGAAGGTCCTCATTATACAAATTATATCAATTGCGTGAAATTTATCACAATTTCTTAGCTAGTTTGTAGTAGATAACTTTTTTCATTACTTCAACTTACTCTATATTTGCTTTTTATCATATTAATTACAGCCAGAACAAATTATTAATTGGGGCTGATGAAGTCTAATGTTGCGATTACTGTTAAACTGTCCAAAATAATCATTTTACACTAGTGTTAGTATCAGATTTTACTTAGCATGAAACATGTCATATGTGCTTTGTACACTTAACTTGATATCTAACTAATGATTTAGTACAGGAAGAGGTCCTTTAAGGGCAATGACCTTTTGAATTTCCTCTGGTGTCGATACCTAGCCCAGGAGTGGGCAACTTGTTTTGGCTCAGGGGCCACATTGTGGAAGGGGTGGATATTAGAGTACAGTACATTTTTAAAAAATGATTGCATTCTTTATAAAAAAATAAACGTAAGTTAAATAGTGATGGTTTTATATTCAATTTCTTTATTGTGCTTTCATATTGTCTATAGTTGCAAGCACATTCAATTTTAGAATCCGTTTAATGAGACTAAAGTACCCTATCATACTTTTCTACAATTTTTTTAAAATCAGAAGTGAGATGGCTTGTTTAAATACTCATCATAACCTGCAAATTTATGTCAGCCAACTTGCATCTATATGTCTCACAACTATATGTTGACTAAAATGTAAAGAACAGTTTCCCAAAAAATTTTCTTCACTCTGTAAATCTGACTTCAAGTCAATAAATTCAAGCTGTAGCTCTTCAGATGCTGTATTAATATCAGCTATAATGAAATAACAAAGCAAATTGAATTTAGACTCAGTTTTCTTAAATTCCTGAAATCTTCTTGTGACTTTGTTCTCCAAACTCTGCAGATGATCTCTTTGTAGAAAAACTGTCAGGATACTTATTTTTGTTAAAAATATATGTTGGTTTTTTTCTTTCTTTTTTTGCACTAACACGAAAAAATATTTCAGTTTCGTGTTAAACGTTGAACACGAAATTGAGGATCTGAAATACACTGCTGGACACACAAAATGCAACTCCAAGAAGGACCAGAGACATCACAACGAAATTGATATGGCAGATAACATGTACTAAGATCAAACGATTAAAATTACAGCCTCTTGGTGACATGTGAATGGTGATAAAATCAGTAGTTAGTGTAGCTGCCATTGTTGGCTATACCCGCTGCCACACGCCTTGGCATAGAATCAAAGATGCTTTGGATGTATTCTTGAGGTACAGCAGTCCATGCGGCTTCCACATACTGCCAAAGCTGATCTGGTGATGTATTCCGGACCACTCGTGCAAGTATGGACTACACGTTTTCCATTGACGATAGATGGGGAGAACAAGGAAGCAAATCAATTTGATGGGTAAAGAATAACTCTTGAACATAGCGTCCCACGTGTGGGTGCATTATCCTATTTGAAATATGGCTGATGGAAAGCGCTGAATGTATGAGAGAACTACGGGCTACAACACCTCAGAGATGTAGCACTGTATGTTCAGAGTACCGGCAATACGTACTAGAGGAGTGTGGCAGTAAAATCCAATACCATCATGATACTGGGTGCAGGACCAGTGTGGCGATGCATAATGCAACAGTTCAGAAGCTTATCACCACGGAGTCGCCAAACTCGAATCCGACCATCATGATGTTGCAGGCAGAAGCGAGATTCTTCAATAAACACAATGTCGCTCCATTCTGTTGTCCATGCCCACCGTTCATGGCACCATTGGCAGCGCAAATGCCTATGGTTTTTCAGTCAAGGGTAAACGAATTAATGGACATTCCACTCTGCTGCAAACGGCGTCGAATGATACAAGTGGACACCGAATGATGCGTAACAGGCTGAATCTGTTGTGCTATGGCTGTGCGATCCATCACTGCCATGTGCACAATCCACCTGCCATCACGGGCAATAGTGTAACGAGTTGGGTACGGTCGGTCCGTCGTTTCCTTCTGAATCCAGCGATGACAGATCTGCATCACAGTTGCTTGGTTTCGTCCAACACGTTGACCGATTTCTCTGAAGGATAATCCGCAATCCCTATATGTCTATGATGACTTGCAGGGGGTCCACGTCAGCAGTAAAATAATTTGGAGGTCCATGGGGAGTAAATAGGGATCTACAAGAGTAGCTCTTATTAAACCAAACCGTGACTTTAATTTTAAAAGAAAATTTAATCAAGTGGAAATCAAATTTACTTTTTTGACAGATTTATTTACCAAACTTGATGAAGTTAATTTGCAGCTACAAGGCGACAGCATACATTTTATAAAAACAAGAACCATCATTTCAGCGTTTCTTGCCAAAAAATTAAGCTAAAAGACTATCATATTGGACGTCGCGAGTTTTTTAATTTGTCACAGACAATCTTCCTGGAAAATGACGTTTTAATCTACGTTCAACATTTAAGTGCTCTTTATTCAGATTTTGAAACTAAATTTGAGAATACTTTGACAATGGTGATAACCACTGTAGGCAGTGAATTCATATGGTCACATCGGAAAAAAAAGTCAGATTACAAGAGGTAGGAATAAGCACTAACGTAAATCTTGAAGTAAAGTTTAGAAAGGGATGTCAGCAATTTTGGTTTTAAAAAGATATTCCTGCTATTTATCCCGAGTTATGAAATATCTTGAGAAAGTTTTTTCTATTGAGAAGGAGTTTCAGCCTGGTTGTCAAACTCCATAACAAAAAAAGAAAGAAAGACTGGATACTACTATAACTGAGGAGATTTAGGGTTAAATCTGACAAGATTAATGCCAAATGTTGAAAATTTGTTATTGAAAAACAAGATTCATCCCTCCCACATTAAAAGCATTTGTTTGTTGTTCAGTTATTTTATGTATTAATTAAATTTTAATTTAATTAACTAACCTTTGTTTCTTAAGTTTCAACACTATACTTCACTAAGCTAAAAAATTTTAATCTTTTAAAGTAAATAGCTCTATACTAGCTGTGAAAAAGACATTTAAAATGATAAATTGGCGAAAATTCAATATTACGTAAGTAAGGATCTACCCAAAACCGAAATACATGGCAAGGTGAGACAAAAAAGTTTGGGAACCTCTGCTCTGTTCTGTAATTGCAAAAGATTTTCTTAATTCACTGTACTAATTTACTAATTTCCTTAATAAATTCAATATTACGTAAGCAAGGGTCTACCCAAAACCGAAATACATGGCAAGGTGTCTGAGACAAAAAAGTTTGGGAACCTCTGCTCTATACTGTAATTGCAAAAGATTTTCTTAATTTACTGTATTAATTTACATAAGAGTGGAATACTGTAAGCCATGAAATGAGCAAGAGTGGCCAAACCATCCCAGTATGTTTTCTTTACGGTTACCAGTCCAGGATACAGCGGGTCTATGGATGGTGGATAATGGAAAAACTTGTGTGTGTGTG